TGCCTTCTGTTGCAGATACTCAAATACTGTACTTCCCGAATCTTGCTTTTTTATTGGAGTCATTCAGTAGAACGAAAATAACAAAGCTAAAAGAAAAAAAAATAACTAGACCTCGCGCTACTAAAACCTTTAAAAAGAAAAGATGGAATAAAGTAGATTCAATAATTGCTACTTCACAGAAAACCAAATTTATCAAAACACTTGAATCTCTTATTAAGTTAACTTATCGATAGCGTGTAAACTAAAAAAAAGTAATTAACTTTAACAAATATACAAATGATTGTCTATTATATAAAGAAAAAAACAAAGGGAACATGCTAGAATTGGCTAAATTAATAATAAAAAAAAATTGCTATACCCAAAACCAGCATCTCAGCCCATAAAACGGTTTATAATAAATTAATTTACCCAAAACTAGCACAAGTAAGAAAAAAGATTTATTGAATTTAAAAAAATTTTCTGGAACACAAAAATTAATGACTCTCTTTGCTAAATAAATATATTTAAAAAACTTGAGCTATCAAAACTTTTTGATAGAAAACAAGCTATAATACTGTTAATTATTATGTTATTAATTTTTACAAACCAGCTTATTAGCATACAAAACAATTTATTTAGTAAATAAACTATTATAAAGAGGAGAGAAAGAACAACCTCAAAAGTTTTAAAAAGAAACTTTTTGTTGTTCGTTGTTATTTTAATTAGATAATGTGAGTGACAATCAAGTATATTAGCTATTAATGTTTATAAAATTACCTTAGTAGCAAACACTACGAGTTTATAATAAACTATGTAGTAGGAAGCTACTATTAAGCAGTTTGAACTGAAACGCTTTAAAAGTTTTTAAAGAAACTTTTTGTTTTCCATTGTAATTTAGAACAATGTAAGGGGCAGTTAAGTATATAAGCAAACTATTACTTTACAAATCTAACTTTAAGCACACATGATTTTATAGAGTTATGTATAGGCAGTGAGGAAAAACGCATCAAAAGTTTAAAAAAAAAAACTTTCTTGTTGTTCAAAGCTATTAAACTATACAAAAGTAAGTGACAATTATTAAAGTTTGACAAGTTAGTACGTTATAAATTCATTTATTAGCACGCAATGATTTATACTAATAAGTTGGTCTAATAACCTTATAATTTAGTGTGTAAGCTATTTTTAAGCAATTTTTCGTTGTTCAAAGTTATTTAATTTAAAATACTATGAGTGCAATTATAAAAGGTAAGAAATCAGTACCTCTATAAATTCAGTAGTTTAAGTTTTTTAATTAATTGCTATTAATAAACAGTGTAAAAGTATGAAATTCCTTCACACGTTTTCATTAATTTTCGTAACTATTTATATATTTTTATGAAATATTCCTTAGAGGCTTTATTTGAAGTATTCTAATTAATATTTACACTGTTATATTAATAAATATAGTGTAAAAAATTTAACTCAAACTTGAGTTTGTATTTACCTTTTACTTTATACCTCTTATTTCTATTTTTATTATATAAATAATACTAAAAAACTTTTTTTTTCAAGTATTTTCATTAATAATTATTATAATATTTTATATATTTGTATAAAAGAAAATAATGAGATTTTACTTGAGTACAAATTTTTCTTTTATAAATTCTTTATGACAATTTATTTTATATGAATTTTAATTTAAATAACAAAAAAGGTCTTTTTTTTAAAGTATTTTTTTTAATAGCTATACATTAACATATATTTTTAAAAGAAATAAATTAAATTTATAAGTTTTTGTTTACCGATCTTTATAATTAATTAATTTTAAATATATAATAATACTAAAATTCTTTTTTTTTGTTTTTTATTGAAAGTTATATTTCAATATAATACTGATAAAATAATACACAAGAAGAAAACTAGATTCATCTTGTGCACTTTTTGATTTGTTATATAAAATTTTTTTGATTATTGAATTTATAAAATTTTATTAATTAATAAATTAAGTTATATAAGAACCAAACTAATTTCATCTCAAATTTATTTCTACTCAATATTTTTACTCATTCTAATTATTTAATATATAAGTTATTACTATAAAATAATGCTAATTTAATAAATATTTTAATCAAAAGTTATTATAATATTAATAAATAGTATGAAAAAAGAATGTTAGATGCAAATTTTCTGTTTAATTTTCAAGCTTAATATACTTTATTAAATTTTTTTACAATATAATACTAAAAGTTTTTTTATTTAAAACTTTTTATTAATCACTATTAAAAGAATGTATAAAAAAAAAGTTTCGCCAAATTAATTTATTAATATATGCACTTTTCTCCTAAAAAATATATTTTTTCTAATTATAAAAATTTTATATTGAGAATAAAATATTGTTTATATACACAATAGTAAAACATTTGTAATTTTTATTTATATTTTTGGTGGAATAAAATGTTGTTGAATAATTTACAACAATGCTAGCGTCTGGATTATTCTTTCTGTGATTTGCGATATTTAGCACCTTCTTACTAAATCCATAACAAATCCTTATAGAAATTCCATTGATTATAACGATAACGTAGCGTAATGTGTTTTATTAATCTCAATGCGTTTCATGTTTACAAATGCGTTTAATAGAAAAAAAAGTAACCTCATAGAATTCAGGTAAAAAATGGTCAAAACAAGTTCACAGTTTACCTTTGATAAGTTAACTCTTTCGCTGTATAATGAAGTTAAAATTTGTTAAATTAGCAGTAATTTAATGTTAGTACTGTTTGCCCTTCAAAATATTGTTATTCTCCTGAATAGGTGGCATTCTTTTGTACTTGCGTTGTAGGGTTTTTATTACGATGAATTCAAACAAATGTTTTTTTGGAACAGCTACTACGAAAAGACTGATACTTTTCTCCAAATATGTTGCATTGGGGTCCTAGTCAAATTAGTTGTTTTTCTGTATGGAATTTACCCAAGTTAAATTCCCCACCTTCAGGGCGCCTTTAAGTTAAAAAGATATTTGCATAAATAAAAAACTTACTACAGTAAACAACTTCATTTTCAAAGGTTATTATATATAATGTATTTCTTACTCAAGGTGTATAGTTGTTTACAAAAATTTTGTGAATTGGTAGAAGGCTACAATTTTACTATATGTCTCTATTCTATAGAACAAGTGCGTGGTTAAAGTGCCAATGAATTTTTTCTAAGATACAAAATATGAAATTTAAGATGTACCCCTTAAAAATAAAATAGTGCTGTCGAACGTGATAATTATCAGCATTGTTTTTCTTGTATAGAGAAAAAAGTATATAATTACTTAAGCCTTTTTTTCTTTGAGATTATATTTACTAAGGAAATTTTATTAATTTTAAGTTTAGAATAAACTTTACTATTTAATTTAATGTAGACTTCTTACCGGTCAAGTTAAAACGCCTTATTACAAAAAAATATTTTTTTCCACTTAAAATAAGGCAGAAAAGGTGTACTATTTCATGACCCTATATGGGAGTAACGCGAGAGGGGCTGTGCTTATTATTTTTGTATAGCAGAGGGAGCCAAAAACCTTCCTTTTACCTGTTCTGCTTTGCTGTACGTTCTGGGAAGACCCAAAGCTCTCAAAGATGTTCCCCCCGTTAGAAAGCACTTAGCGGTTATACCGTATTTGTAAATGTGTACCATGCATTAAGTACTGAATTATCTTAAAGAAATAGTTGAGCATAAATTTAAACTTTTGCAAGTCTTTAGGTGAGTCATTAGTACCATCAAAATTCCAAATGAAGTTACTAGGTAAATTTTTTTTTTTTTCAAGTTAGCTAACATACTTAAGAATAATAGTTTTGTATTAGGCCAAAACGTTTCTAACTAAGATATATATATATATATGCTTCTATACTTAATTATTATTAATAATATAATTTATTAAACATTTATTATAAAAGGAATATATCCAATTGCAATTTAAAGCTGTCTGACTAAGAACAAGTTGCAGCCCTATTAATTTAAAAAATTGTAAGATTTAATCTACTACTATCATCATGAAATGATGCGGTATTTTAAAATAATGCTATCTCTCATTCAACGACTTGGATAGAAATAAGCTTTCCACATTGGAGGGGCTTCACTTCTTGACTTTTATATACGTTTATAATAAACATATATTTTTATATGAAATGTTCCCGAACATTTCTAATTATTCTAGAAACCACTTTCCTAGTATAAACATGAAAAGGTATATAAGAGGTTCAAAAGCCCTCTTCTAGAATTTTTAGCTTTTTCGCTTACCAAGTGCCCTCAAATTCCACTGAAGAAGCCCCGGCAGCAGAAAGGATCCTGATTCAAGATACTTTTTTGAACAATCAGTCAAGCTTGATTCAAGGATACCTCTGGAGATTTTAGCGAAAAACTTTTATTAATAAAACTATTCTATACCGCATACGAAAGTTTATTGATAAAAGAAATAGTTTGAGTATCTTCAAGAAGCTTTATGATAATTTTTGTTTGCAAAGATTATCATTACATCTAACCCTAACCCAATGCATAGTATCTTAAACCAAAAAAACCACAAAACCCATAAATGGTTAAAGTTTGCTTTTCTAATCTCATTAATGTATTCATTTATAACATTAAAAATCTTAAAACTACTTTATCATAGAAAAAGCATTTTTTGGTAGGTTATAATCCTTTTACCGGGCTTCCCTGTGCTGTGCCACAATGTTTTCTAGCGTAATTCTACTATTTTTTCTCACTTATTTGACGAATCTTTCGCCCACCAAAACGAAAATTGTCTTTGCGATCATACTAATATTAAAATAATACGACATTAATTCGCTTTTGACCTGTGCTTGCCATTCAACTGTATCCTTAACTATTTAATGCATTAATATCTTAAACCAAAAATACCACAAAACCAATAAATGGTTAAAGTTTGCCTTTCTAATCTCCTTATGTCTTTATTTATAATATTAAAAATACTATAAAAGCAAAGGAAGAGTATTTTTTTCTAGGTTACAATTCTGTTACCCTATCCCCTACCCTGTCTCCTAATGCGAGCCACCATGTTTTCTTGCATGATTCTACTATTATCCTCACTGTGGCTCAAAAACGTTACCCCTTCACGTGGTCAACAATTTACACATAAATACCGCAACACTTGGTAAGTACTCTTGGAATACTTGCCAATTCTGTGCATACCCTCAATTCACTTTAAACGAAGACAATTCCTTTTTTTTCGTTATAATGACTTAAGTCTCACTAACGCCTATAATAATTTTCATTAACTATTTTATATCTTAATAAAGCTTTTTTCAATGAAGCCCTCCTAAAACTCTTACTTTTAACACTATTCCTAAATAAAAAAATTCTTTCATCTATGCTTACACAAAACTCACTTTAATAAAATTCATTATAATTTTTATCTATCATGCAAATTGAAAAGGGACCTTTCCCTCCGCAATTTAACAACTTTGCCCAGCAAAAATCTTTCCACTAATGTTACACACTTGTTGGTAATTATATATTAAAAATAATAGTCTAATTTTGTCCCTCTTAATAATTCTAGTATTGATTCCTAACTGTACCTTCAAATAAGGTAGAAATCTGATATTGATAATTTAAATATTTGCTCTTTAATTTCTTCTGTTTTCCAACCAAGACAGATTAGCATTTACCCAACTTTGTGAATATAATATTCCCTTGCATAAAGTTATACTGACATTAATGTTATCGAATTCCTAAAAAAAATTTATTAAGAAAAATAACAGAAAAACAACTAATTGTCCTTAACCATTTCTGTCTACACATGTCTAAACGGAAACTAAACCATTTAAAAACAAGAAAAAGTCTAGTTTTACTAATATTAAAGTGTTATAGAATATTACCTTCCGTTTCCCTTTGCATTATGAATGCTATACAGATATTCACTTTAACTTATGACACTTTTTAATTTAGGTGTCTTGACAGAAATAGCATATCATCAATAGAGGCTCGTGTCTTTGCCGAACTAAGCGCTTTAGAATATTTGTAATAGCTTTTTATATCTATTTTCTAATATTAAGGCTAACTGCTTATCCGTTGTACAAAAAGGATTTTAAAAGAAAACCGACTTACTACCCTCCGAAAAGCAATGTTCTCGTCCTTGCAAAATTTAATAGAATTGTAAGTAAACATCAAAAAAAAAGTGGTTGATTTTAAAATGATAGGAATTCATTGTTAGTAATAACTTGAGTTTTCTAACAAATTTACTCACTTATAAGTCTACAACTACGAAAAACCGCACTAAACCATTTAAAAACAAGGAAAGGTCTAGTTTAGTAATAGTAAAGTGTGATAGAATATTACCTTTCTTTTTCCTTTGCCTTATAAATGCATTAACGATATTTACATTCACTTATTATTTAATATAGGAATCTAAAAGGGAATCTCATATCATCAATAGAGGATAGTCCCTTTGCCAAACTTAGCGCTTTAGAAATTTTGTATGAGTTCCTTATAGAATTTATATTCTAATATTAAGGCTAACTGCTCTCGTGTTGTACAAAAAGGGGCTTAGTAGAAAACCGACTTACTGCCCTCCGAAAAGCAATGTTCTCGTCCTTGCAAAACTTAGAATATTTGTAAGTAAACATCAGAATGGTTGATTATTTATTTATAGGAATTCATTGTAAGTAATAACTTGAGTTTTCTAACAAATTTACTCACTTATAAGTCTACACCTGCCAAAATCGTACCGAACCATTTAATAACAAGAATAAGTCTTGTTTTAGTATAAAGCCTTATTCAAATAGTGTATTTTCAAATCTAAATTCTTTTTTATTATAGTTGTACGCTTTCGGATTTATTTGCACAAAAGAGTAGATATAAAAACATATGTCTTTTTAATTTTATTTTTCGACTGATAATAGGCACTCAGATGGGAACCCAATAACTGAAATTGAGTCAGAAGCTTTTAATACAAACACTAGAATGTAAGCAAAATCCTTGTTTTTTTTTATTTTCTGTTCTATCCCTTATTATAATCTAACGTCTATAAGATTTATTACTCTTGATGAAAATTTTCTTTGCTGCTCTCGTCTTCATTATGAGAATTTAAATTATAAAAGTGGCCGATGCACTTATGAAGGGGAAATTAAGGAATACAACAGCTTTAATAAAAACTATTGTAATGCATTGAAGCCTCCGAATCCTACTTATCAAAGTACGTTCACTCCCGAAAATACCCCGACGGACCAGCCCTCCTCTTCACAGAGCACTCAACCCTCTACGCCGGAAATCCCACTCATCCCTCAATATCCGGTCAGCGGCAACATTCAGGATTTCTAATTTTTATATTTGGCTAGCGTTAAGCTATGTCCTTTCCTGCTTTTCTTAAGCAAACATAATAAATTGCGTATTTTCACAAATTCGTTCGTTACCTAGCCCCTCTACCAGAATTTTTGTTTCTAGAGGAGTTGTGCACGAAACTACAAGACCAGAAAATTGCGAGTTGTAACCGACGGGCATCAAACCCGCGGCTCTTGACAATGCTCTAACCGCTGAGCTACGGTGACGACCCGCATCTTCGGTCGATAAATAACGTGTACACAACTTTTATTACCCTCTTTTACCTTAAGTCTTATAAAGCTAAGTCTTACTCGGGATATATATATTTGCGCATGATGACTACGAACTTCGGAATGAAGGGATGAGAAAGCGCGACCATTTTATTACCCCGTAATGAAGAGGTAGTCATTATCTTTTTTTTTTAAAGACTTTGGCAGGTGGCCGGTAAGTTAAGCGAAGGCTATTGAAAAAAAGAGTAACTTGTGCTAATACCGAATTTGCACTGTGGAGACAAAAATAACCTCCCAAGATTCTTATAGTAAGAGTTTTTAAAGTTACAATCTCCAAAAATTGTCTACTAAAATATTATTATAATGGACTAATCATAATAGTTAAAAACTTTAAACTGCATTTTTTTACTTAGATTATAAAGGCTAGAGATATTAATGCTTAAATTATTAACTCCCACTTTGGGGAAAAAAAGAATTAAAAAATGAAATAAAAAGTGGATAATCATATATTTAAATATAAAGAAAATGTAACATAAACAGTTAAATAACCAAGAAGACAAAAAACGCAGAGTTGTGTCTCTTATCCGCTTTGATTTTCATTCTTATTCTCGTCTTTGCTACTGAAGGCATGTCATTTTTGAACACCCATCCTTTGTGATATATTTAAACAGCTTAATTTTTTAAGAGGAAGAGAACAAGCTATACTGACCATATGATAGTGATAGATCCCAAGCTCAAAACGACGCGCAGCGCATTTCACTCTTTTGAGGTAGCAGATTGGACCAAGGATGACACAGATCTGTAGTAAAAAGAAAAAAGGCAGCACCATTGAAGATGCCATACAGCAGACATAAATAAATAATTTTCTAAGGATTTCTTTTAAAAGGAGAGGTTTAGAAGATATTAGAGTTTAGAAGCAGTGGACACATTTTTGTGCCAACCATTAACCCTGCGAGGCAAACAGTATAGATTTTGATAAAAAAAAAAAAAAATTCCGTATAAAGTTAAAATAAATAAACAAGACATTATTATCAACTATATGATCTTCATACAACCATACAATTTAGTTGACACCGAACTTGATTGGTACATTTTAATTTAATCCTTTGTGTTTAATTTAATATTTTTTAAGTATATATACATATAATTTTACCATTAATAAAGCGGTCGCACGTAAATCTCAATGGCGAATCGAATTTTTTTATCGTTTACTTTTCACCAGAGGCAAACTATCGTGCCACGCTCAATGACAGAGGCGCCGTGAATTATTTTTCGAAACGATACTTTACATCGTTGCTATATAAGTTATGAACGGGGGCTCGCCGCCTTATATCTAATATATACTAGGTAATAGCGCTATTCAGAACAGTGCTAGCCCCTAGTATGGGAAGATCCCATATAGGAACTAGCACTGTTCATCAGCGGTCGAGCCAACCGTACCGAAGAGTAAACTAAGCGAGAGAGTGCTCCCAGCCCAAAGCTGGCCAAGAATAGCCAACAGTACCATTACTCTACATATAAGAATTATTCAATATATATAGTAATCAGCACCGTTACACGCGCTAGTCTATAGTCGGTAGTCAAATGACTCCGACTAGACGAGGGCAAGTGCCATTTTTTTGCTCGCTGTATAGACCTTTTCACACGCAAAAGTCTTCGCACGCAGGTAGTGACTTACAAGCAGAAGTATCTATAAAGCTTATACGTGTTCATAAAATATGCTAAAAGTAAACATAAATAGGTTAGCACACAACTTCCATTGATTTTCACAAAGGACCGTCGCTGAAAGGCAACCTAGTATACATCACGGGATCACATAAGTTAGTTTTGGAATCATAGGTTATTAGTCTCAGTATGTTGTACAACGCTCATAGCTATCGAAGCTAGTACCTTATCAAAAGATATAGTTAAGTTTGAGACTAAAGCAACAGCTTCTCTGATCCTAGGAAGATGACACTAGTCTAGTGAACCTATTTCATACGTAGTTTTTACCATTTTTAAGAGCGTGCCTTTCGACAAGTAGCAATAAGCCTTCGTCTCTCCACAGTATCGATCGTGCCTCAACTCAACAAGATTTAAGCAGGATAACCATATTCATAAGAGTAGTTTGGAGAGCATTCCTACAAGGTTCGGGTGCTATTAGTTTCGCTCAAGCTTGCAGGACCCTACAATCATAGAAGATTTATTAAACACTACGTCATTTCCTTGAGTCTACTCACGACGCGACAATCCATCTGTGGATGGCAATCGTAGTCTTTATTCTCTGTTACCGCAAACCTTATTGCTTCCTCGACACACCAACCAAAAACTCGCAAATAAAGCTAATGTACCAATTATTGGACAGCGCTCGTTAGCGCCACTGCTTAATAGGCGCCTAGAATTTTTGTTGTATGTATAAGAAGGGAGAGCGAGAGGTAACAAGATATATAAATATATATATAATTTAAAGTAAGATAGGTTATATAATTTTGTTATCAAAAATGTATATAAAAAAGATAATATATATTAATATCTAGCATCTTTATCTCACATTGAAAAAGATGATTAACTAGTCTGGGTATGAACACTATTTTACCCCTCCAAAGAGGGGGGGGTAGTATTTTGTATAATTAAGCCCTCCAAAAAGCATATATAAGAGAATGGGAAAACTTTTTTTCTCGATGCTCGCGAATGTGCCAGCGTTTTATCTTTTTCATATCCTCAACGCTTGTCTTGCGTGGGCATCCTATATTGCCATGTGGTCACAGTGATCTATAATATTATTTGGTCTTAAGCTAAAGTTAGGTAGGTCGAAAGACCAGTGTTATACCTCAACTTAGATGGTTGGGCTCTGAATAGGAGACCTGACGGTTGGCTGTCCTCGGCGCTTTCCTGCAATGTTGTACACTTTTAATAAAGTAACGATTTAACACAACAACGCCGTAGGTTTCTGTTCGTTAAGCGACCGATAAAAATCGGCCCTAAGGTGAAATTCGTCGTTGAACTCTGCCTATAGGATCCGATGTGGCTTCAAACTTTACCCGATGATTTACTTATCGGACGCCATCCAAAGATAAATGGCAAGTGAAATGTAGTCACTACATTAAAGGGCGCTGGCTAACTATATTTCGAAACTTCTTGACTTGACTTGAGCTGAAATTATACAGTAGGCTCTCGTAAATAATAATTCTATCTCTTCAACTAAATGATCAGAACACAGTAGGCATGAACATGGTTATCGTGCTTTTAAGGGAAGAGTGGTCTAGTCTAACAGCCAAAAGCCCTCTCGGAGCGATAGGCTGCTCTTGAAAATGAGAAAACTAAAAAGTCCCTCGAGATCTTTAAAAGGTTCCATTCTTTTGAGTTCATTAAGGATTATGGCGAACCGTGTTAGACTAAAAATGGTTTGCAGCTTAGATTTTAGCTTAAGAATATTCTCTCGATAATCAAATCGATGTTGATATACTAGATTATTGCCTACTGAACCGTTTTTTCTTAGACGAAGGGTGTTGGTAGGCCCTTTGACTTTGTTGTAATTTAAGGCCAGGTGGTAGCAATGTCTGCATCTGGATTGACTAGATGCGTCCGAAATCCTGAGGTGTTTCCTTGAACTATATCTTTGTTTTTTACCACTCGGAACTCTGAAGGTTGCTGTCATGGGTATTATAGATAACACTATTTGCATCGATTCTAGATGCTTTAGGATTAGCTTGATTTCGGTTTTGAAATAGCACTCAATCCTTTTATCACGCTAAAAATTGCATTAGTCCAGCAAAGTGAGAAGTTTATTAACTAAATCATAACATTTTTAATTAGATTGGCTCGGTTTGACTTTGTGCTACATCGAGCTGAATACTTGTATAGTTTGTTGTGGTGCGCTAAAGAGCGCTTACTTCTCATAAATGGTAGCATCTTAGAATGGCATTAGGAAATTACAGTATACGAATAGTATTATTTACTAGTATATACTATATTAAACGTGACCAATCCCGGTCTAATACGCTTCTGCGAAACCACTCAGTCATTTTGGACAGCCACGGGAACCCTACGGGAGAAGGGAATGGTGAACAATAATTTCTTAACCTCCTCGAGGCGGTGAAATCAAAATCAGACCGTTTTAAAGTGCTTCTAAATTTTGACAGTAGCATGCCAGTGTTAAAAAAAGATAAAACATTCTTGAATGGTCAAGCCGGCGTGTCCATCGACCTTATGTTGTATAAGAGTTATGGAGTTTGTTTATTTGTAAGTAAAGTTTATTAGTTCAAGACATAACCCTTGACCTAACACAGGGTAAAATACGAAACTCGGCCTCTAATTACTAAAATTGCCACCTTACGCCGCTTCGAAAAAGTTATTTGCTTATTAACATTACAACTTGTGACTTTTATACTACCCTTTAAAGTCATGGCCATGGTATTCGTAGAATTTTGAAGCGGCCTTAAGGTCGCGAACATATAATAAGTGATGCCTGGAAAGAAGGATTAATATAAGGATGTTTTGCCGAACGACTGGAACAAGATTAATTAAAAATAACCTTTTCATTTAGTACCGTATTAGAATTAAGCGTGGGTCAAATTACTAATATTTTATAAGTTGTGCTAACGTAGTCGATAATAAAACTAATATAAAAGGTTATTTTCTATATTCATACTTAAAAAAGTATAAATTATATTAAATGAGAAAGCTTGTACTGATTAAATATAAAGTAAGGGAGCTGTTTATGAACTGTCAGTATTTATTCTTCTAGTAGTCGGTTAATGCATAGAGCATTAAAAACTTGATCACCAACAAAAATTTTTTCTTATAAGTACATTGGTCGTTGTAAAATAAAGCTTATTTTAATAATGCGTACGCGAGCCACAAAGAACAGT